CCCGGTCCAAAAAGTGGTCTTAAGTAATTAGAGTTAGACCTGTATTAATATTATTAAATTTTCTTTACCAAAAGAGGTCCATTTTCACGTCATTCATAAATAACTAACTGCATACAATACTAGCGTTATTATATGAACGAGTAATATTTAGTACTTTTTTCATTATTTTAGGCTGGTCTAATTATTTATTTATTTTTCTTCAATATCTTAGCTACGCAAGTCAATAGGGCTAGGCTAATTCATATGTCAAGTTTAAAAAAACAAAATGTTAATATATATTTATAATATATATAGCTAATTTTTTGTTTAATGTCAGTGCAATATTTTACCTTTCTCTATCCTTTGGAAATCGATATAAATTATGACCCTGTTTGTACATGATGTGTTGCAATTTACTGCACAGCAACGCCCTCCAATACCGTACGTCGCCATAGCGCATCGCGGTGTACAATTCTTTAATAGACCTTTCCGGAGTGTCAATCAAACTTCACAACTGACTAATCAGAACAACGCTAGGAATACGCACGCGTCTTACAAACACACACGTTGTCCCACGAACGCACGTGTTCGCGTATGTTTTAACACTGTCGTCTTGTGGGGCCTTAGCAACAAAATCCAAGGGGCGGAGCTTAGCGGAAAGGTCCATTGAGAATTGATAATAAAATACGCGACAACTTGGTAACGAAAGTTTGGCAGAAGTTTTTTTAGATCCAGCTGTAGGGGGCGTCACATTGTTTGTATTCCCACCATGCATTTCGGTGGAACACTTTTTTTGTGTGGAGAACTCTTATCTTGTATTTCTAGGCCTAGTATCTTTGGTACGGTACAACAATAACAATAACATGTCATCTAAACAATAACAATCTACATATATTTATTATAAAAATTGGTATCCTGGGAAAAACCTATTTTGTCAGCTGGGTAGGCCTATGTGGGGGGTAAACTAGAATTGTTGTTAGTTATGATCCATCTTTGATATTATTTAGGCGAGCCTCTAAATTACATGACAATGCTCATCAGAAAGTCTTGTATTTCTTTCTGGTTCTGCTGACCAGCCTGAAACGGACACCATGATGAAGCTACAGTCAGTAGGCCTGGGCCTACATTATAAACTAAATGTTTACCTGAAATCACACTGAAAAAAATAAAATTTAAAGTCCGATTTGAGCCACTACCAAAGAGTTCCACTTCTTGAAACAAAAATCTGGGTTTTTCCAATAGAGCGACTATTATAAACAAAACCGTCTAGCCTAGGGCCTAGGCCTCTATCGATCTAGGCCTACTCCGGGATTTTCCAAGTTTGCATAATTCCTCTTTTAATTCTCCCTCGGCCTCCTCCGCTTTTTGTAAAGCGTAGAGGGCGCCATTAAGCTCGTCACACCACACAAGAAGTTGGTCGCGGTTGTTCGCTTGGCGATTGACTTGCTTATGCTTATAATAACAACCAAAGGTAGGCCTAGGGCTAGTGTATAACTTTCGTTTTTCGCATTCAGCTGCTCGTTGTCGGGCAAAAAGTAATTATACTTCCGTAGGATATTAAAATGCAATGGCCGACCGTGTAACGCAGCTACAGGACGCTGTAAATCAGGTATGTGCCAATCAATTCAGAATAAAATCCTTTTGTTGTGATGGATGGTGGCCTAGATAGATAGGTAGGCCCTAGCCTAGCCTAGCACCGCCTATGCCTATGCTAGGCTAGAGGCCTAGGCCCTAGTTCCTCACCTTAAAATTGACCCCAAGTCAACTCGACACTAGGTAAACTCGGCCCTAGGCTAGGTATACCGACCCCATGTCAACGGAAGCCGATCATTTCGTTCACGCTTCGTTTCGGTCGCGCCTCATTTCGGTCGCGGTTTATTTCGAACAAATATATGGAGCGCCGAAGGAGTTGTGAAAACGCAAAATTTAATATGCGTAGGACCTATATATTATTATAATTAATTCGCAATCAGTTATCATAGCCCTAAGCTAAGTATTTTTTTATTTCCGTTTTGCTACTAACAACTTTTTATCTTTCTATATTCTCTTTCTTTCATTTCCATTTCCACGGTGAAACATGATCTTATGATTGAAACAATGGAATTTAGTATGTGCTTCACGCTATTCTTTTTGTTGCGTTTTCATATACTATACTTTAATAATTGTGGTCAATAAAATGTATCTTTGATTTTAATTGAATTGAATGTTTTTACCATCTGAAATATATTTCATAATTTAGTTAAAACAATAGTCATTACAATATTTAATCCAATCTTTTTATACAATATATTTATTTTTGTTGCAGCTTCCAGAGTTTGGATAAAACATTTACCAAGAGAATTGAAGGAAACAATTAAAGAAATAAACGAATAATACACACATTATTATTCTTCACTTGAAATCTTTAATTTTCTTTGATACCCCTGCGCAGTTCATAAATATGAATTTATATTTATATATGATTTTATAAGCATAGGATATACCTATTATACACATCT